AGGTAGCACATGTATTATAAGCTCTTTTCTGTGTCTTCAGTTTTCTTAATTTAATTTGCTCTTGAGAGAGGAGTCGGTTTCTGTTCCTGTGTCAACCATGCATTTGTCAGACATCTACACAATGGCCTGTTTTCTTGGTTCCAAAGCTGGGTGACACAAAACATCGATCCCTCACAGATCTAGTCATCCAAAAGACACTTTAGTCCTGGCTCTGAGCCTCCGAATCTCAAAGAAATGAGAAAACAAGTTAAGTAATATTGACTTGAGCCCTGGTGCCAATCAGCTGCCTGTTTACTTTCATATCCATCCTTTTTAAAATTTTTATTTATTTATTTATTGCAGAATTTTATGATTTTATTAACACACATACAATGTGTACACAATCTGTCTATTCATTTTCTTCGCTGCGCAGCCTGGCATTGGGATTGGTGACTCTGATGGCTGGGCTGCTCTTTCCACAATGGCTTTGCAGTTCTTTGAGGAGACGTTGTGAGCAATCTCAGCACAGTGAGATCTGCTGCACGTCAGCAGCACTTCAAGCTCCTTGACGGGTGCCAGATGAACTTCTTGGTCCTCTTTTTGACAATCTTGGGTTTCACGAGGGGTCTGAGGGCAGTCATAGCCCCAAGTAGGAGATGGCTGCCACCTCCATAGGCAGCGCAGAGGAAGAGGGCCGTTCTTTTTTTAAATCCTTACCCAAGGAATGAGGATATTTTCCCCATTGATTTTTAGAGAGAGTGGAAGAGAGTGGGAAGGGAGAGAGAGAGAGAATGAGAGAGAGAAACATGGACATGAAAGAGACACATTGATTGGTTGCCTCCTGCTCACACCAATCCTAGGTGGGGATTGAACCTTCAATCCAGGTTCTGCCCTTGACCAAGAATCGAACCTGAGACCCTTCAGTTCTTCAGCCAACGCGTCTAGCCACTGAGCAAAACTGTTCAGGGCTCATGTTCATTCTTTATTCTTCCCTGTTTTGCTCTGCATCCATATTGACATAAAGAAATTACTGAATAAATAAATAAATAGTTGGGAAAGAAGAGACAAATATTCCTTACAGAAGAATTCCAAATAATGCATGTAGCTACTTCCCACTCTAGGAAGTAAGCTTAGCCTCCTCTTATCTCCATTGCTTTTTAAAAATTAATTAATTTTTTATTGTTGACAGTATTACAGATGTCCCCTATTTCTCCCTCTTTGCCCTCCCCCCGCCCCCAGCCCCTTCCCTACTGCAGGCCTTCACCACATTATTGTCTGAGTCCATGGGGTATGCATACATACATATATGTTTTTTGGTTAATCTCTTCCCATCTCCCTTCCCTCTGAGATCTGTCAGTCTTTCAATCCATCCGTGCCCCTGGACCTATTTTGTTCATCAGTTTATTTTGTTTATTAGATTTCACATATAAGTGGGATCATTTGATATTTGTCGCCCCTTTGCTTTTTGAGTATGGGCTGAACTTAGTAGCTCACTTTCAAAGAATAGAGTATGGAGAGAGAAAAATAGCAACTTTATAGTGGAGAGAACTGGCAGATAGTATTTTAACCAAGTGATCAAGCTTAACATCACCAGAGGGCGGATATCATACACCGTAATATGATGTGATGGGCATATCATCTCGGTGGTATTCTTTCTAAAAGCCCATATCCCACTCTAATAATTAGAAAAACCTAAGACAAACCCAATTTGAGGGACATTCTACAAATATCTGTCATGAAAAATAAGGAGAGACTAATACCTAAACACAATGTCGTACCCTGGTTTGGATCCTGGAACAGATAAAGGTCATTAATGAAAAGAATCTGATGAAATATGAGTAATGTCTGGAGTTTAGTTAATACTAATGTAGCAATGTTGTTTTCTTAATTGTTCAATCTGTTGCACAAAGATATATCATCTTACTATCTTTTTAATGTTGTAGAATCGGCAGAGATATTCTTGTTTTCATTCCTGATATTGAAAATTTGTGTTTTTTCCTCTTGACTAGTCTTGCTAGGAAGTTTTTATTTTATCAAAGTGCAGCAAAGTATATCAATTTAAAATGTACAATTCATCCACAGCTGGTTTGGCTCAGTGGATAGAGCGTCAGCCTGTGGACTGAATGGACTGAAGGGTCCCGGGTTCAATTCCAGTCAAGGGCACATGCCTGGGTTGCAGGCTTGAATCCCAGTGTGGGGTGTTCAGGAGGCAGTCAGTCAATGATTCTTTCTCATCATTGATGTTTCTCTCTCTCTCTCTCTCTCTCCCCCCATCCTCTCTGAAATCAATAAAAAACAAAACAAAATAAAAATGGAGATACATCTACACAATGGAATACTATGCTGCTGTAAAAGAGAAAGACCTCTTACCATTTGCAAGAGCATGGATGGACATAGAGAGCATTATGCTAAGCAAAATAAGCCAGTCGGAGAAAGATAAATATTAAAAGATCTCACTCATTTGTGGAATTTAATGAAAAACATAAACTGATGAACTAAAATAGAGCTGGAGACATAGAAGCATCGAACAGACCATCAAACTTCAGAGGGAAGGCAGGGGTGGGGGTGGGGGTAATAGGTTAACCAAAGAACTTGTGTGCATGCATATAAACATAACCAATGGACACAGACACTAGGGGGGTGAGGGCATGTAAAGGGAGTGTGGAGGTGGCCAGGGAGAGGCCAATGGGGAAAAAGGAGACATATGTAATACTATATGTAATACTTTAAACAACAAAGAATTTTTTAAACATTTAAAAATGGGGGGACTATTAACATTGAAAAAAATGTGGAAATCATAGCTACAAACTCAGGTAATTTCTTTCAGGTAATTTCTAAAAGAGCCTGCCAAATGGATTACCAAAACCAGTGTTCCAATCCTACTTGTGCCACTCATATGATGCTAAGCAGCCTATTTACTTCACTCTGCCGTAGTTTCTCAATCTGTGTAATAGGAACAGTAATTGCTCGGTAAGGAAATTCTCCCAAAGGAAATCCAAACCCAGCAAGTTCAAACAGTCACATGGATTTGTGGAGCTTATCCATGTCTTTGTGTCATTAGCATGACACCTTTGTAGCAGATGTGACACAAAGTTGTGGGAGGTATACAATATCCATCTGGAGGTCATTTGATACCTAAAGCTGCTGTCGCACTAGCAGGGAGAGCGAATATGAAAGGAGTTTAAGATTGAATGAAGCAGTAAAGAGATTAATGGGATTTAATTAAGGAGTGAAGTGATTGAGCTATGGAACTTCACCTATCCTAATTAGGTGATAAAACCGAAAGAAGTTCAAAGAATTAGTAGGGCTTTTTTTTTATACTCAAGGGAATAAATAGTATGTATTTTCCTGCTTGTCATGACCGTAAGTGGGAGTAGGAGTGGGATAGCGGAGCGAAGAGAGAAAGGAGTAGGAGGAAGATCCTAGAAATGTGGGTGGGGTGTGAGCGAAGTCATCGCATATAGATGCCAAATCAACTCTCCTTCCTCTTTGGCTGAGGTGGTGGACCTTTCCCCCAACCTGCGGCTGGCCTTGGCATTGTGTTGCCCTTTGGGTGACCAGGGCTCCTGCTCTGTCATTGCACCTGGACACCCGTCAGTGGGTCTTGGCCAGGACCCCATCACTACCCTTAACGTCTGGCTCTTTCATCTGCTCCACTTTCTTCCACTGATGCTGACTCAGACCTAACCCTGTGATGTGCCTGAGGTGTCTGGGTGTGATTCAAGGGTCCTGGAAAGAGAATTAGGAATTTTAGGTTCCAGCTCCAACTTGGTAATTTACTACCTTACAATCTCCTGGAGCCTTGATTTCCTTATCTGTAAAATGGGTATATCAATAGTCTCTAGTTTCAAGGAAGGATCAAAGGTGTAAAATACATGAGAAAGAGCTTATAAAAGCCAAGGCTTGAATCACCGTGAAGCTGTGTTATTAAAATAGCTATTAATAGGATGTGTACATGATAATATGACAGGTGTATGATAATCTGCTGCCTCCACCCTCCCCATGTGAACTCTCTAAGTGCTCTCAGGCTCTCTCCTTCCTGCCTGTCTTCTCCCATCCCATATCATAATTTGCTCTTTGTATATAATTGCGCTTTAAACCTTGGTAGTATTAAATCAGAGAGGTATTTGCATATTAAACCGTATCTCTATTTCCATGGTAAAAGCATTTGGCCTTTATTTAAGAAATGTTAACCAGCAGTTTGGATAGGAGAGAGAAGCAAGACTTTGCTTGTGTTTTGAAACAACTTTTTTCACTCCTAAATTATTTCATCTAAGCTGGAATTCAGAGTGAATCTGGATCAATGTTTTATTTTATTTTTTTTCTTTTGGTTTGTTTCTATTTTTTTAAAAAAATTTTTATTACAAAGGGTATTACATATTTGTCCATCCTCGCCCCCCCTGCCCTAGACAGTCCCCTAGCCTCCCCTAACCCCCAGTGTCTTATGTCCATTGGTTATGCTTATATGCATGCATACAAGTCCTTTGCTTTACCATACTTTTCATCTTCTGAACTATATTCTCAGTTATAGGATGAGAACAAGAATTATTCTTGCTCTACTGTGCACGAATAGCTCGCTGCTGCTTGCCTCAGCTGGCCACCGGCACACCACCACTGGTAGCTCTCCGCTGCTCGTAGTTCACTGCCCCGCCCTCCTGTAGCTCTCCACCACTTGAAGATTGGTTGTGACATTATGGTGTAATGGATAATTAGCATATTCCTTTCTTATTGTATAGGATAGTATTCCATTTTACAGATGCACAATAGGTTTTTAATCCACTC